GCTGGATGAGCGACGGTGGGCATTCTCCCACGTCTTCTTCGGCTGGAAAAGAGAGAGAAGAAAAAAAACTGAAATCCGTTTTCAGAAAACGAAAACGTGAAAATAAAAACGTATTTTTTTCGTTTTCAGTTTTTCACAAAAAGACAAAAACATTTTTGTTTTTGTTTTCTAACACAACCTTCGCCAAACACGTTTTTCATTTCTGTTTTCAATTTTTTGCTTCGAAAAAGGTGAAAAATGAAAACAAAAAGGATAACAAACAGGCCCATAGATTACCAAAAGTATCCTTAATAGTAAAAAACATAACCTACAAAATTATCACTAGAAAATTACTAAATGACACAGAGATGTAAAAATAAAATTTTGTCTCCAGCTCTGACATCGATCACCGTCTCCGGTGTCTGTCGCTAGTCATGATCTGTCAGATTATGTTATAACTTGCCAGATTATTTTTTTTATTTTTAACTAAAAAATGATAGGTTGTTTCCGACTTCGACATCAGTCGCCGACCACCATCCGTAATCTGTCAGATTATTTTTCTATTTTCAACTAAGAAATCGCACATTGTTTTCAGCCTCAGCGTCTGTCGCCAATCATAATCAGCAACGGCGGAGGGAGGTGAGGCCTGGGGGGCATATGCCCCCCCAGGATTTTTAGTTTTTCAATTTTTACCCTATATGTTTTGAAATTTTGTTCATATATGCCCCCTTCATTAACAAAAATTCCAAAATTTCTCCAATAATTTTATCTGAATAATTTTTTTACATGGTTCTTTTGGTCTTTTTCTATTAAATCTGATACTTTTTAATATGCCTAATTGGATTTTTTTCCTTAGTTTACTCTAGCTAAAAACTTTTTTCCAAATTTGTCCCTTCTACAATATCTTTTTATATAATCTTTATTTTATCATAAGTGAGCCTCAAAAAAAAAATTAATAAATAACCTATTAAAAATATATTTCTTTAATGTGTCACTAATTAAGAATTTTTTTCTAAACCACCCTCTCAGAATTTTTATTCGCTTATAAAAAAATGCAATAAACTGATCAATATTCACCTGTGTAAAATGTTCTTTCAACTAATTAACTACATTAAGAGTTGAACGTATTAGGGTCTATAACATTTTTTACATTTTCAATTTGTGTCCTCCCAAACAAAATTATAACTCCGCCATTGATAATCTGACAGATTAAGAGGATATTTGGTACCTAGATTCGTTCCCTGATTCGAATCATAGTTCGTGATTTGCTACAGTATTTTCTCTCACAAAAAATACACGTAAATAAAAAATAATTCTAATCACATGGTTCTAATCCATGAACCAAACGTCTCCTAAGTTTAGGATATCAGATTAAGTTTAGGTCATTCAAAGCCCCTTAAATGATCTAAAAAAAGGATTTGAGCTCCTCCGCTTTTGTCCTGATGACGTGAAGGATGATTATTGACTTGAGAAAAACCAGGTATAACAATTAATATTCTCTCTTAATTCTATTCCTCTTTCTAACATTTCTTTTATTCTTTTCTCTCCCTTAGTTGTATTTCCTCTCTTGTTCCTGCTTCAAATATGCTTCTTTTGGTATAACACGACAGCATTCAGGTAGTAGAATTAGAAAATTAAAGGAATAAGTTAAACGAGTCCCTGTATTGGCATTTAACGTAAGAAGCAGCCCCTGTAAAAAGACTCACATATGGTCATTCTAACACGCCAGAAACCTCCCAACAAAGACGCAAACAAAGCCATAAAAGCCAGAAGAAGAAATACTGCAAGTATCAGATGCCGGCTTGCTGTTGTCCTAGCCGATAAGACACTCGCGGAACATTTTGGCGACTCTTTTGAGTTTGGGCGTGTATTTTTCCCAACAAGGTAATCACTCTTTGTGCTTGCAGTATTTTCCATTGCCTTTTCACGGTTGGTCCGTACAGTTTCCTTTTTCAATCTGATTCTTCGGTTTGCAGTGCCTTGGAATGGAAGATCCTGGGACACAGCAGCCTCCCCGGGCTGTTGAGATTTTTGCACCTCCTCGGGCACGAACGCAGCCAACGGGCTGATGTCAAGAGCAGCAGATATTAAAGTTTCGTCAAGTTTGATAATGTCATCTTTCAGTATTTCCGCAAAAAAGTCATCATCATCATCATAATCCTGCAAAGGGCCAAAATCAAATGGAACTTATGAATTGGCATCTTATTAAATTATGTAACTTGAGCTCAAAACAGTCATTTCAGATGTGATGTTCCATAGACTTAAAAGGTTTAAATTAAATGGTCGTCGGAATCTTATGATAATATAATTGAACAACGCACAGCAAATTCCTCTGGCTGCCTCAAATAATTCATTTCTCCGTTGGCCATTCATTCCCTTTAGCGGGAATCAATACCAAGACGGTGCAAGAATTTTCTTTCCTCATTCTTTATATTATATAGCGGCACCAAACTACCCTTCTTAATTTTGTTAGTGAACACATGATTAAATGAGAAAGGAAAACGCTCCTATTCCCTATTCCATTCATGTGAAATAAACACACCCATGGGCTTGAAGAAGAAAGCCGAAAAGAAGAGTAATGTAGTCTTAACATAACAATCATTGAGTAAAAAATACCTTTTGTTGACCAGAACATTCTGGCTGTGTAACCTCGGATGCGAGTTTTTGACTGGATTCAGATGCAGAATCAATTTGCTCGATAGAATAAGAGTCATAACTGCTACTACACTTCTTCGAACAACATTCATTAGCCTTGTCCCCTGGTTCAGTACCAACTTCAGAGGCTGCACAATTACTATTATGCATAGTTGATAATGGCCTTTGACTTGAAGAAGCTCGGTTACTGTCATTTAGACGGAACTCACTGTTCTTTCGAAGGCGGCAAACAACCATAAAGTCCTGCAGGTGTAGAAAGTGCACAATATAAAATGACAGTTCATCAAGTTCTATTATGAAGTAGATTTTTCCAGAAGAAACATAAATCTAAGTGCTAACTGCAATGACAAGAGAGTAACACAAGGAACTGCTTCCCATCTAAATCACATATGCAGCAAGAAACTAGTCATTGAACCTCTTTTTTTGTTCTTTGGTTCTTCATTATCATCATTGAACCAGTTCAAGATAAACAAGGCAGATCTTATTTGGGGCATCAGCTTTTACCGAAAACCACCACCCTAACTGAATATAGAGAACTTTTGAATAGGCTAGTTCAACCTTGGCCGGAACACCTCCAACTTATTGATTATAATCACAAAGTTCACAGCATTACGCACACTACATATCCTCCACATGATATGCTAGGAATGTGAGAAACACGTTACAAACTTTGTTGCAACGCAACTTATGCTGATTCATTTGTTGTTCAAGAATCAAATTGACTGGTAGATAGTTTTAGCTGACATGCAGCGACTTTCACCTTGGAATTTTGTTGCTTCTTTCATTTAAGAAGTATCGCCATTCCATTACAGATCACCAGACTATTAACATATTTAGGATATCTATCAGCCTGAATCCATTTTGTTGGAATTTCAAACTTCAGTCCAATCATCTTGTACGAAATTGGATTTAATGATCCAACAAACCTTTGGTTACCCAACAAAATTGGATCAGATGGGACTGCATTAGTTGGTTAAAGTGGTTGGTTCGATTTATAATTCAACCTTAGAGAAAGGTGAGAAGGCCAGGATAGGCAAATGTTAGGAAGCGCACAATGAAATTCAAATCTAACAAGATAATAAAGGTTTTTCCAGCCCAACAAAGACAAGTTCCATAAGCATTATTTCCTTATACTGTACTTCTTCCCATTTTTTACCCGAGATTTTGCTTAGGCCCTTGCAATAAGATTTTTGTTTTCCTCATAGTGCTGCTGGCTAATTTTTTAAATTCTCTCTTCCATATCATATAATCAGAGTATAGATTAACAGTAACACCTAGCTTTTCTAGTGACATTTATAGTCACCATGAATATTCCTTCAGGGCCTATGGCATTTTTTGCATGCTCATTTGTGTGTGGGTTTGAGTTACAATCTAATAATATGAAAAAAGGCTTTTGTAGCCTGACGATGGGAGCTTCCACAAGCGTATTTCCCGATACGTTGGTTGAATTAGTTATTCTATTTAGCCAGAGGGGTTTGAATCAGCACCTCACACTAGGGTTCTTATTTTGCTCGTGATATTCTAACGAGGAATACATCTTAAAAGCCTGCAAACTTTTTATGTGTTTGGAATTTTTTTGTTTTTCCCTCTCCTTTTTGAGGCATCAGACATGGTGGGCATACAAGCACTGATTACTTATGGCGTCATCCATCTACAGATATCCATGAACCCAGCTCACAAGTTGTAAAAGGCCTTGCCACACAAGAAGAGAACAGAAATAGAGACATAAAAATAGACGCTATACTTGAGATCTACAGTTATGTTACCATCCAATATTAAGATTCAGATATACTAGCATGAATCACCATCAATAGTGATTACTGATAAAGAATCAAAGACGATGAGAAATATGGAGAGGAGGGCAGAGGAGGGAGAACTCGGTCACACTTTCCTCATGATCTAAAGTTGTTTATTCACGTGATCAGTTAGGAAACAAAACCAAATTACTAACAAATGTCAAGTAATATTGAATAAATCATCTTAATCTAAATAATCTGTGTAAACTCTAGAAGGACCTAGACATACGAATTGATAATGAGAAACTATTTACATTTCAAATACCAGACCAGTTCTTTGTCAAAATAAAAATGGACAGAACCATGAAGACATACTTTATGACCAGTCACTATTAGTACGGGCTGATGGAGAGCTGAAAGAAGAGATGCAGGAAACAACATTAGCAGGCATCCCAACTTTAGTCTTCAAATGATAGAGAAAGTTTAATGATAAGAAAATGAAAAAAAGGGTAGCTTTTAACGTCAAAATATCTCATAAAACAAACTCGCAATTCTGTTGTGCAGTCTTTTTTAATCAGACATATTTGTCAGTTAAAAGAAAGGGAAACAATCAGGTAACCAAGTCATAAAAATGTAGGACAAATTTAAGCGCAAGAAATTGAAGTTTGACACATATGAAATAGCTAGTGCCGTAATCTTCCCCATTAATAATATAGTCGGAAGGCGTAAATAAAGAGGGAAATGATAAATACGTTGATTAACCAACATGATTGCAATTTGACCAAGTGCAATTTTTTTTGTTAATTAACCTAGTGCAATTTCTTAGTATAGTTAGCAGCATCTTGGAAAACAATAGAAAAACAGCGAGCTTTCGACTTTAGGATTAGTAGAAAAATCCTGTAAACAAACTCTGTTAAACTAATGTTTATCTCCAAGACAAGAATTTCTGTATTTACTTCATACCAAATAGCCAGCATAGAAAAGGATGTTCTCCTAAATACCTGGGATTTGTCAAGCACACAGTATTCATGCATAATCCACTCAGTCCTTTCCCCTTTCGGCGCACGACCGGTATGGAACACTAGTGTCCTCTTGGTACCAATAAAAGTTGAGCCAGACTTCACATTACGTTCTTTTCCAGTGGCTTTCCAATAACCTAACTCAGTTGCCCTCTTACTTTGTGAGCCATTCGGGTACTTCCTTCCACGAGGAGAAAAGAAGAACCACTCAGTCTCTGATGGTATTACAGACTTGTCTGGTTAAGAATACACCAGCACTAATCAGATGCAAAATCCAATAAAAATTATTAGTAACTTCTATAGATGATGGAACCATAATTGATTTCGGGGTTCCATCAATCAAACATAGTTACGTACAAAATGGTAACAAACTAACCACCCTATTTATTCACCAAAACTCGAAAAGACCGCTACTTCTACAGTAACACCAACTACAGTCAACATGGAACAATGTTAAAAAAATATAGAGAAAAAAAGAAAAAAAGTGTTCAGCGTATAAAATTATTATGACACTATGTTTATGTGTTTGGTTCATCATGTGCCTTCTTCGCATTAAACGTTTTTGGTTTAAAAAAAGGGACACAAATATCGGGTTACTTAGGTTATACTATCTGATTACCAGAGAAAAAATGCAGAAAAACTTCAAACTTTTCATTCCAAAACCACAAAAGTTAAAACAACTATATTTCGAACCTATTCAACAAACCGACCGTAGAAAACCCGACCGATCAATTTCATAGGTGATCGATTAGTCCATTGGTCCCCCTCAGTTGGTTTCCATTCTTTTGCAATACTCTTTTAACTTTGAGGTTCCAAATGCTAAAACACATATATAATAAATATAAACAAAGCACAATTAGTTCAATTTCTTACATACGAACAAGAAACAAAGCTTACAATTTTTTTAATCTTCCAAAACCAAATTAATAATTAATTCGTAATCAACTTTTCACGTGCAAAAAACCTTTCAGTCTCAAAATCCAAACCTACGAATCCCAAACCTAAGGAAATCAAACAAGAAGAAAAAACAAAAAGATAAGTTACTAAATCAGTAGCGGAAAGAAACCTAGTAACTCCCATGGCTCGTACTTCCAAATCTCGACCTCGGGGATGACTTCTACACTCTTGTCGGCGCCGTCCATCTTGTTCTTGAGGTAATACGAGATCAGTTCCTCGTCCGTCGGCGAAAACCTAAACCCCGGGAACATCGACAACGCCGCTATCGACATCTGCGCCTCCCTCGACGGAGCTCCGGCCATGGCTATGTCTAAACGACGATGCGTTTTGATACTTTGATCGGTTGTCCTGTCGTATTTCTTTGGGAAGAGATGGAGAATAAGAGAGAGAGAGATTCGTTTCGGTGGGAAAGAGAAATGGAAAAGGAATTTAAAAGGCCTTTAAACCAAAGGCTTCCTTTTTTTTTTTCTTTTTTGTTTTGCGTGTCCATGTGGTTGCCTCAGCTGAAGGGCACGTCCGACCTTTTACGGAACCAGATATTGTCACGTGGTCACTCTCAAGTTGATTTCTAATTAAAATAATTTTAAAAAAATTAATAACGACACTCTTTTTTATTAATTTCTACATTTATTATTTTTAACTTGATATATTATTATTATTTATGTAAAAAATTAGATAATAAAATTCACGTGTTAAACAGTTAATATAAAAAATAACAAATAAAGTGACAAAAAAATTACATTAGCATTTCTTTAATGTTATTAATGACTTATTACTTTCTAGCACGGTGTGCAAGATAATATCTAAGTAAAAAATTCATATAAGAGCCTTTTTTTTAAATATATATATAGCATACGTTATTCTATTAATAAAAAGAAGATACATTAACATATTAGTAGGTTATGTTTTGTGTCCGTTATATTTAAATAAAATTATGTAAAAATTAAAAGTATGTAGATTTAACGATTAGAAAAATCTGATCTATTGGTATGCCAGATATACCAAAAAATCTTCCTAATAAAAAATAAAGATTACAAATATGATTGGACTCAAAACCCTCTCAATATAATAGTTTTTTAAAAAAAATACGATTTTTACTTAATAACTCTCATTTTACTAATAAAAAATAAAATCATTAAAAATTCAAATTTTCATATTAGTAAAAGAAATCATTTAAAAAATCAAATTTCAATACACAAACAAACACTTATACACCCCGTCACTTAAGCTAGTCGAGTGGCATAATAGGTTGGATAGCTTAAGGTAGACGTTTTTCTAAGTTTTCTTGAAATGCAGGATTTTACAATCTTTTTTTTAATGGAAAGTTTCATTTCACAAGAAACAAATTACACAAGACATAAATGACCCTAAATACAAAGCAATTCAACTCGACTGAATCCACCGGTAAAGACCAAAATAACACAGAGGTGAAAATAAGTACCGAGACTCAAATGAGAAAGACTCACTCGACACATAAACTTCAAACTTTACCATTTCTCGTTAAACAGCACCAAAACAGTCGATGGACTAGCTTAGTCAATCGAGACCAAACCCCACGTAATGGGGACCATCATACCACGACATAGAGGACACTCTACCTAGAAAACATATAGCACACCGTTTACAAACAAGTAGGGGACACAAGCAGAGGACATCGCCTCCGTTATTACCGAAACAAAAACACCGACGTAGAACAAAAAAACACACCAAAATGGTAGAAACATCAACTCCCTTATTACAACTAAACAAAAGAAAGATCTACCGGCAGCAATCCATTGGCCGTGGAACAGAAGTTAGATCTGAGCTGAGCCATCCTAAAAGGACAATGAAGAACGAAACCACACACCTCCTAAAGAATCTCACCATCATGTGGATCAACACACTATGAGAGTGTAACTACCTGCCGCCGAACACGCTGAAAATAACGGTCCAAACGAGAAGTAAATCACCTCCATGATATGTTAGATACGTCCTAACAGATGTGCTGCTCCACACACATCCACTATCATGAGACAGTCGTCGTCGAGATGAATCTGGGGACTAAATTTCTAGGCTGGAAACCCGGTGATGCGTCTAAAGACGATATCGGAGTTCCAACCAAATACTACGGCTTTTTTTCATACTCAAAGAGAGAAAGAGAAGGAGAGAGAAAAGAACGTCCGGCATTTTACAATCTATGCACCCTAAGCTATTGCATTTGAATCGAGTAATACTAAAGCACAATAAATAAATAAATAATGTTATACTTGTAGGACCATGTTTATCACCATGAAACATTTTTTAGGTGCAAAATATTCTCTTCTTTTAGTATCTATCTGTGGTAGCAAATCATTGGCATTCCATAAATGGGTAGTTAGGACAAAATCATTGCCAAGATAGCAACTTCTTTTTTTTTTTTTTTTTGGAAACATTTTGAAGGTATTTTTAATGATATTAAATATGTATTTTCAAGACTGTTTTTGGACATAAAACGTCATTTTAATCCTTCTATTTAATTAATTTAAGAATATTTTAAAAAATTTGAAAATATTTAAAAGCATTTAAAATTTTTTTAAAAAAAAAAACCTCAAAATTTTTATATTTAAATACAATACCTATGAATAGAGAAAAGTATTCTTCTACACTATAAAAGCACCTTAAAAATTTCAAGGATATCCAACCGTTTTCATCTTCTTTGAAAGACATCATCAGAAGAATAAGCTGGTAAATTCTAGAAGAAGAAGAGTCAAACTGAGCACCTACAAAACCATGGAAAATACATAAAAACCATAGAAAAATCTAAACGAAAATCAAGAACGAAAAAAATGGCGTTGGTCCCTTCTGCCACGGTGAACGAAGGCCCAATCTTCGCCGAGGTCGACATGGGCGCCGACTCCTCCTCTCCCACCGTCCGCGCCACCGTCGTCCAGGCCTCCACCATCTTCTACGACACTCCCGCCACTCTTGGTTGGTTCCTATCTTCTCTCTCTCATACGTATCAACTTGGAGCATCTCCATTGCCGTGTCAATTTAGTGTGTCAGTGTCAAATATCAATATTTAAGTAGTAAAATTATTTTCTAACGCAGTGCTAATTCAGTGCCAAATTTGAGATATCGTACTAAATTTTAGGACTTGTTCAACCAAAATTGCGATCAGTGCTGCCTTGTGGTTTGAATTTCGTGTGTGTGTGTGTGGGGTGCAGATAAGGCGGAGAGATTGTTGGCCGAGGCAGCAGTGTATGGCTCTCAGCTCGTTGTGTTTCCCGAGGCATTCATTGGCGGTTACCCTCGTGGTTCGAATTTTGGAGCTACCATTGGGAATAGGACTGCCAAGGGTAAAGAGGAATTCCGTAGGTACCATGCCTCTGCCATTGATGTTCCTGGTGAGTACCTGTGGCTTCTATTTTTCGATTTATAAACTTTAACAGTTAAACAATGTTGTACTTGTTGGAATTGCCTGTTAAATTCTAGTTAGTTGTTAATGTCAATTATTTCTTGACTAAGGTCGTTAGTTTCAAGAAGGAATGAGTTCCAATTTCGGTTAGGGAACTAAACTAACAGTTGTATCAGTTTGTAGTTAGTTTATAAATACTGATATATTTTGATTTGAGATTTCTGATTGAACTAAGGCCTTCTTGGTTCATTCCTGGAGGAAGAGGTCTAAATTCTTGTTCTGATTGAGCATTTGAAGATTTCTAGAGTGCTTTTCTCATAGATGTAGGCTTAAAGTGCCAAACCATGTAAATCCTGTCTCGCTGTTTCTTTTCGTTTGTGAATTCATCTTCTTTTCTTCCATTAATCCCAAAGGTTTGTAGTTGGATGCTCAAGTGTGCTTCAACTTCTTTCTGGATTATTGATGACTCTCGCAAAAGTAATAAAGAATTTATTGTTTTCAATTGCTCTCAATATGTTTCTGCTGGTTCGTGATGAAGCCAAAAGTTTAGTTTATACTGATTTTAGCTGTTTAAATTTAGCTGGAGGTTATCAATGTCTTCCATAGTTTATATCAATTTAGTATGTATTTTTACTTTTTTGTTTTTGAGTTATGTAGGACCTGAAGTTGAGCGATTGGCTGCAATGGCTGGAAAGTACAAGGTATATCTGGTTATGGGTGTAATAGAAAGAGACGGTTATACGCTCTATTGTACTGTACTGTTTTTTGATTCTCAAGGTCATTACCTTGGAAAGCACCGAAAAGTCATGCCAACAGCTCTGGAGCGAATCATATGGGGCTTTGGAGATGGATCTACAATTCCTGTTTTTGAGACTCCTATTGGAAAAATTGGTGCTGCTATTTGTTGGGAGAATAGAATGCCACTTTTAAGAACAGCCATGTATGCTAAAGGTTAGAAAAATCAAGCTTAAATTCCTTTTCACTCAAACACATTCTCTTAAACACCTCTCTCTCAAATCATGAAACTGTCAAATATACACTTGTGGAGCCTTACCCTTGTTCAGCTTTTGAATTGAAGTAGAAGATAAGAGCTATATAGTTTGTTCACTGTAAAAAGCACTATAGTTTCATTGGGTTTAGCTTACAGCTAATCTGTATCGTATAGTTTTTGTGAGGCATAAGGATTGCCAATTGCCATTGTAGCATTCCCTTTTTAGTTGCATACTTCTGATGTTCTGCATTAATCTAGTCACATTTAATGCTTCTTTCTCATTCACAAACTCTTGGCCCTTGTTGTTACATTGTGTTCTCCAACGATCGGCATTTTTACATCATAAACTGGTGATCATTTCAGGAATTTTTATTTCCATTTCAGTGTAGACATTTTCATCTTTACTACTTAGTGATGAAGTTCTTACATATCTAGTTAGGCTCAAACGTACAGGTATTGATTGGTGGAATTCACATTATTATTATTATTATTATTATTTTACTTTTTTGTACATTTGGCTTTTTAGCTGGTGTTTATGATGATTAGTTCAGTTTAGATTATGATATCATGGAATTTGTTGTCTTGGCTTTAATCATTAGACTTTCATCGTTTTTAGGCATTGAGATATATTGTGCTCCGACGGCTGATGCAAGAGAGGTATGGCAAGCATCAATGACCCATATTGCGGTAGAGGGTGGATGTTTCGTTTTGTCTGCCAATCAATTCTGTCGAAGGAAGGATTATCCCCCACCTCCAGAGTATGTATTTTCAGGTACAGAAGAAGACCTTACTCCAGATTCTGTTGTCTGTGCTGGAGGAAGTGTCATTATATCGCCATCAGGAACAGTTCTGGCAGGACCCAATTATGATGGGGAGGCTCTCATCTCAGCTGATCTAGGTATTTTACTTTTTTCATTTATTAATAATTTCTTAAAAGATTTAAAAAAATCCGGGTTTTGGAACATTTTGCCATCCCTTATATGATTGGCCACAAGAATCAAGAATATGGAAGTGAAGGGTTTTGGGAAAACAATAGTCTACATAATTGGTCAAAAGGCACATGCAAAGTTCTCTGAGATGGTTAGTCTTACCAATAGGTGGAGCACAAATTTTTTTAAGATTGCTTTGATGTCACACATTTATGTCTGAACAATTCATCTCAGCAGATCTAGGCATTTTACCTTTTTTTTTTGGGTAAATGATTTAGGTGTTTTACTTTCCTTCCTTTAATGTTTCCCTTGACATAGATTTTGAGTTTTGGAATACTCTTTTGAAACTTTTACGTATTTGGTGAAAAAAAAAAAAAAAAAAAAAAAAAAAAAAAAAAAAAAAAAAAAGCAATGCAGAATAAAGAGTGAAAGAGAAGCAGGAACAATAGATAATTAGGAAGAGGAAGAATTGGATAATCTGTTAATACAACGATAAAAGCTTAACAATGTTTGACATAACCAGCATAAAGAAATCACTCTAACTTAATAGGATAATCTTAAATCTCCTAACTAACATAATTATCACATACCCCTTAGTAATTCTGATATGTTCACGACGTAAACTCCATGTGGTTTCATAAATAAAAATTATCTGGAGTTGTTTGTTACTAACATGAGGACCACATGCTAACTTTCACTTATTTTTGCTACCATATGGAAGCGTCGTACATAATTCATAATTGGCTCAGATTCTCCTTAGTAGTACTAATAAATAGTTTTCTCTTCCAAACAATAATTGGCTTGGATTCCCCATCTTTTTTTTTTTTGACACTACCAATCATGTAAAATCGTTTGCAGATCTTGGAGAAATAGTGAGGGCGAAATTTGATTTCGATGTGGTCGGACACTATTCAAGGCCCGAAATCCTTAGCTTGATTGTGAGAGACCATCCAACAAATCTAGTTACTTTCACATCTTCTTCCAAGACAGAAGGCTCTCAGAAGTCATAGTTGTTTCTTTGCCAAATTGGATTTCAGCTCTCAAGATGTAAGCTATCTTCACTAATAACTGGATGGAGCCTTGTTTTAACCTAGTTTACATTAGTTGGCAGTTGCATTGTGACTGTATATTCCTGTATAGACACAACATGTCTTTGCAGTGTAACATTTGTGCTTTAATAAGTCTAAATTCTTACTTTTTGACGTCAGAATTTGGTTGTAATAAACCAAAAATTTAAATGGGTCTCAATGTTAAATCTTTGTATTGCCAGAAATTTGTTTTTTTTGGTTTATTTTATTTTTGTAAGTTATTTCACACCAATTTTAATGCCTCGCATTTTTTACTTGAGCTTTTGTTGTTGTGCTGTTCTTCTCTTAGTGAAATTTTCTTCTGGAACTGAACAAAGGGAGCTATTATATATTTAAGCATATACATTATTCTTGTGTGAAGTTTTCATCAATTATAATCTATAAAATTCTGAACTTAGGGAACATATTTTGGTTTATACTCTTTTCAAGTTTGCATATGTGGCTTTGATCTTTGAATACTTTTTCTTTCCTAAATTCTTGAGTATTTCAGTTCATATTTATCCTGATAAAATATCACGCTTAATGGGGGGATCAGAAAATTACAGTACATTTAATAGCTGCTGTTGTTTTATACGGACATGTTTGGTATACCATTTTAGAAGGTTTAAGAGTAGTTTGATCACTTTCTTGCCAATGATGAATAATTATATTGCATTGGTTTTTGTTAAGGTTCTTTGAAGTCCAGAAAATGATTGCTAAATTGCCTAAAAGAATTTCATTATTGGGGGTAAAGAACATTCAAAATATAAACTTAGATTTCTATGGTATTGTACTTTGTATAAAGCTATTCAATGATGATAAGATCCAAGTGAAATTAAGATTCCCATACCATTAGCCTAGTGTGAGGTTGATTCGCTAATTTATCTCTTGTGAGTTTAAACTTCCAGTTAATTTGTTGGGTGCTTAGAGTTCCATCTTAAAATGTTAATGTTAACCTATGAGGAGTAGCTCAAGCTTTGACCTTTTTCCACATTTCTAACATAATAAGGCAAAATATATCATCCTTAAATCCAAGAATCTAGAAGCAAATCTATCCTCCTTTGGGGTTGGGGTATTCTAAAGTAAAGAAATACGGTTAATCATTAGTTGAAGGTGATAGCTAATTGAGTTGGTAAAAACCTTTTAACGTCAAATCTAGAATCAATTCTTACTTTCACTGGGTCAGGGAAGTTTTTGTAGGGGAGAAATATGAAACAAGTTGCTCAACTCGACGGGTTAGATTATCTCATATTAGTGATTCTCTCTATTATGTGAGATAACTCTGTTCAACTAAATCGGGTTGAGTATAGCTGCTCGAAAAATATGCCGGTTTGTTTGATAACTTTGAATATAAAATTTGAACAGAAATTCAAGTTTTTATTGGAGAAAATATTGTAGTAAAATATTTTGAATTCTAGTTCAAATATAAACGGACCAAATATTACCTCGTGTATTACCCACATATTATTTTTTTTCCTTCAAATAATAATAACAATAATAAATGAGGAAGGGTTTATTTGGCAAAATATGAACTTCTAACTTGCAGGGCCAAACTAAAAAAAAAAAAAAAAACCTTCAATTTAGGGGTGTAAACGGAATCCACCAATCCTTCCAATCCGCATTAATCCAATCCAATCCAATCCGCCGGATTAGATTGGATTGAAAAATTTTGGAATGGTAACGGATTGAGATTTTCTCAATCTCATTAACAGATTGGATTACAAATTGAGCATTTCTCAATCCGTATAATTCAATCCACAAATTCGGATTGGATTGGATTAGATTGGGAGTCTAACAGATTGGTAGTGGATTGAGATTTTTTCCATCTACATAAACGGATTGGATTGAGGATTGATCCGTGTATACCCCTACTTCAATTAGACTGGTATTATTGAAATTTTGTCTGGGGGCCCTTGGGATATGAAATAGATTGGATCGTGCATGAATTTGAGCAGTGGAGGGCCTGTCTTCTTTGGGGGTCACAGCTCAAAAATGACATTCCTGTCTGTAGCAGTGGTTGAGGATGATATCCTTCTCCTCACAATTTGATTGTCCACTCCTGTTTTTGGTTGGTTTATTTTGGTTCTTTCCTCACTCTGATCATGATCGGGAGAGAGTTGCTTGGTCTTGTTGGTTCTTCTTGTTGTTTTGGAGCTTGTTTTGTTCTCTGTTCTGCTCCTTTTTTTTTTCTTTTTTTTTTCAAGTTATCCAAAACTTTTACAAATTACAATCATGCGTTTCATATATGTTGTGAGCATTATATCCTTTAATCTTCAACCACAAGATTTGAGTTGAAGACAATTTGTCCTTTAGAGTATATTTAAAAATTACGAGTTTGAAGCTAATAAGAATTGAGACACATGAATTAGTTTCTCATATTTTAGGAGTCTTAAGCATTCAGTTTCCTTGCACAGTGATAATTTGTCCACTCTTTCAATATTAGCGAGAGCCGTGGAATACTTGCATATGTATAATGTTATCAGTGTCCTTAGTGTCAAAGACCATTATTGAAGCAAATGGGACTTAAGGCTTTGTATAAATAAACCAGATTTGATATTGCATAAATAATTTTACAAGATTCTATTTACATTTGTGCATTCTGATGTACTTGTCTTAATGCAAACAAGCTTTGAACTATTTGGGAAATAAAAACATGCAACTCAGTGAGAAAAACAAAAGAAGGAAACACCACTTTTGGCTCTAAAGCACTTTATACATACATATATATATATATATATATATATCCTTCCTTTTAGCTTAGAGGCTGCAAATTGTCCCTAGCCTTTGTACCTTTCTTTTTGCATAAACACTGTTGCTATGACTATTCAACAAAATCAGGCTTAGCCCCACTGCCTAGTAGGACTTGCAAAGCCAGGAATTAGTGCTATTTCGGACCCGGATAATATGTGGTCTGCAAGGCCCTTAACAGATATGTATCTCTTGATTTCATCTTCATATTCTTGTGTTTTAGCTTCTGAACCAACAACATCAGGTACTACGGAGTGAAACCCATCTGTATGTCCTTGTGTTTTGTTGCCAAATTCCAAATCAATGTCATTGGCACTTTTGTTCAAGCAGATGCTCCCCCACTGAATCTTCTCAGAAATAGATTTCCTCCCTTTGAATGGTCTATCGACCGAAATCCGTTTCGAATCGTTGTCTCCGTCTTCTATTTCGTCCCCGAAAGCGTAACTCCACTTGTAGCTCCTGTTGTTGTTATCCATGTTTAGCTCAATGGAATGAAGATCACTATCACCTGAGTCATCTCCCTCGTTATCTTCTTCTTCCTCTTCTCTATCTCCAACCTTCCCAGGTTCTTCTTTCTCTGCTTTCTGAGATGAACCAAAGTTGATTTCTTTCAAGTAAGCTTCAAGTTCCTTTATCTTCTCAAACTTGGGAGAGCCTTCGCCGTCTTCTCCTCCGATTTTGGATCTCAAATAGGCCTCAAGCTCAGTTCTGAGCTGCTCAACGGCTGCATTTTTCTCCTCAAACTGGTACTTAGCTTCTGAGAGCTTCATCTGAACTCTCTCCTCTCTCAACACATCAGCCAACTGAAGCATTTGCCTCTCCTTCTCGACCTCTAGGCGAACTTTCTCCGACTCTCTCTTTATCTCTTCAACCTGTGCTCTGTCTTCCCCAATTCCCTTAGCTAACTCATCACAAACTTGCTCCAATATCTCCTTTGCCCTCTTCTCCCTCTCAAGCTCCTTCATTGCCCTCGAAAGAGCTGCCTTCGTGTCCGCCAGTTCCTTTCCGATCTTCTTGTTTAACCGCTCCGTTTGTCGGCTCAGCTTCTTCTCCGCTTTCAGCTCTTCGGCCGCACATGATATGGCACCCCGAATTCGCTCTCGCTCCTTGCTTTTCCAGGCCGCCTTTTCTTCTGCGAAATGCTTCATCAGGCACTCAATATCATTCCTATTAGACCTCTGCTCCCGGTTGAACCGGTCGACCTGGATGAGCGCTCTATCGAGCTCGAAACACAATGCAGAGAATAGGGACTGGCTTAAGGAGCGCTGATCTTCAAGCCCCCAAACATGGTGAAGAAGCTTCAAAAGCTCCTTGGATGTAGCAAGTCCATTGCTGACCTCTTTTAAACGAGTCTTGGCTCCAACATTGCTCTTTTTATGCTGTGTTTTGCCTCGAGAATGATGATCTTCAGCCTGCATTTTGCGGGAGAAATCAAAGCGTTTTATGAACTTGAGCACGAATGACAAACTCTTAAGAACACAAGTCTAATATTATCCTCCTATTTTAAACCAAAAGCTTGCGAACTTTTTAGATTGTTTAGTGGACGTTCTTTCTCATTAACATGAAAAATATTTTGAGATAGCCCTAAAGAAATATGCATTGCACATGTGAAGTATAAGATATATGAATATGTTAAGGTTGTTGTTGAATAGATATTGATAGCTTAAAGAGCAATTCAAGAACGTCTTCTTCTAAGCCATGACTAGAAATCTCAATTATTTCATATATACAACTGAAAATGACAACTCAGAGAAGCACTTATTGTGAGTATATAAAATCTGGAACATAATGTGACAAAATTGATAAAGAATCATCCCTTTTGAGGAATCGTTGCGAACAGGTAGTTTATATCGTTTTTACATTTTTTTTATTATTTTTTTTCTTTTTCTCAAAAAAGAAAAGTGAAAAAAGAACAAATTGAAAATGACCCATGAAGGAGTTAAATTAATAAACAATTTAGCGTTTTTGGTGGTTGGTACCTCCATCAAACTGGCAGTGCTTAGCGAATCCAAGCCTCCCAAATAGTAATAATCAGTCAGCTGAAGTTTTTGGGTGACGGCTGACATTGTCCTGTGGTGGCCTACACCACCACCATGTTGATGATCTCTTCTCTGCATTTTCTGCAAAATTCCAACGCAAAAAAATAAAAAATAAAATAAAAAAATCACTTCTTTTTTATTTGAAAAGTCCACACAAAATTACTAGATAGAGAATTACTTCTTCCTTTCATTGAATTGAAAATTTGAACTGAATTTTTGTAAAAAAAAAAAAAAAAAAAAAAAAAAAACATCTTCCTTTCATTGAATTGAAAATTTGAACTGAATTTTTGTTATAAAAAAAAAAAAAAAAAAAACACTATATTAAAAGGTTGAATTGTTATTTAAATCTATACAAAGAGCGGGCACTGAATATCTAAATAAGTAAATAACCCCTTTGTCCCTTTTTTTTCCATTTAGGTCCCTTTAATTGAACATGGGGGTGGGGGGACATTGAGGTCCCTTTAAAAATTTAATAGTTATGATCCTTACCTTGTCCCCTTTTTGACATAATTTCTATTTTAGAGGTAAAATTATTTAGACCTTATTTATTTTATTGATTCGAGTTTTCAGTTTTAAATTTTTATAATTAAAAACTCTTAAAAAATATCACATCTAACTTTTTCTGTTATAATTAAAAACTCTCAAAAAAATATCACGTCTCAACTCAAATTAAAAACTTAAATTTACAAAACGAACGAAACCTTATTTTGATATTAGAAGAACACGGAGACAAAACCAACAATTTTGACAGGAGACAATCTGTCAAAGCCCAAAAAGCCAGTGTGCTAAAAACTAAACACAATGCGGTTAGAAACTAATCCATTCACACGTCCCTATTCAAGAATTAGAAACCTCAAAAAACTCCTCGGCACAAAATTTTATTCACTGATTATGGATGCCACTCAAATCCCATTACTGAACTAGCCACTTATATTTGTGCGAGCTTTGTGCGAACCCGTTTAGTTGGAGGATTCGTTTTCTGATTCGAATCATGATTCATGATTCGTTATAATATTTTCTCTTATAAAAAATACACGTAAATAAAAAATGGTTTTAATCTCATAATTTTAATCCATGAACCAAACGGTTATAATTATATTTTAAAAAAAAACACTAACAAAAAATATTCTATGAAAAATTATTAAATTTGATTATATTCTTTTAGATAACTGTTTCCTGAATTATTCAAAAAAAAAAAAAAACTAACTTTACCTATTTGGAAATAATCAAGACCTATTTCAAATTATCTTTTCATCGTGCTTTTAAAGAATTAACCACTTAAAATTTAATACATAAAAATAATTTTAACACACTTTCTCGATTTATGCATTAAATTAGCCGTGAAATGTATTACATTCGTCACAGATTTCGCTCCCCAAGTTGACCGACGTGACAGCAGAAGGTGCAAACTTTCATAATTTCCTAATTAGAAATTAATCCTAAAATAGAAATTAATCCTGAAATCAACATATATATATATATATAAACAAATAAACAAATAAAGAAGAAGAAGAAGGAGGAAAAAAAAAACTAACATATGGAAGAGGAGGAGTATATGATGGATCTGACAAATGCGGAGGCAGCGAAGCCGATTGCGAGGGCAGTTTGGGAAGAATAGTTTCTTTGCTCTTCAATGGCGGCTTATTCATAATTACCTGATTATTATTACCAATATTGTTGTTATCTTTCTTCTTACAAGGCACTTGGTTGATCTCCCAGAGAGTCGCCGCCAGCTTCCTCGCCGACACCGACACCGACGAGGCCTCCTTCGGAATCTCCGGCGCCGGCGTGTTCGTCTCCCACATCGGCGCCGGCGTGCTCGAACCGCCTCTTTTCCCCATCAGAATCGCCCTCTTGAACCGGTATTTCTTCACCAGCGACGACGACGTCGACGACGACGAGCAGTTTATTCTCTTCCTGGTCTTGCACTTCTTCGTCTTCTCCTCCGGAGAAGAAGAAGGAGAAGAAGACATTGTTGGCGAGAATGAAGTATAAAAAGAAAAGGGAAAATCTCGGAGAATATTGAATCTTCAACGAGATTTCGGGGTTTATGTATGGAAGGTGTTTGAGAAAAGGTTTCAGAGAAGTACAATGGCTATGATGATGATTGTTATCGCCATCTTTTTCTTTTTGGGTAAGTTTGAAAAAAAAAAAAAAACGTAAAATAAAATAAAAATAAAATGTTAGTTCTTGAATTTAGCACAAAGAGAAAAGTGTGTGTGTGTGTGTGTGTGAGAGAGAGAGAGAGAGAGAGAGAGAGAGAGAGAGAGAGAGAGAGAGAGAGAGAGAGAGAGAGAGAGAGAGAGAGAGAGAGAGAGAGAGAGAGAGAGAGAGAGAGAGAGAGAGAGAGAGAGAGAGAGAGAGAGAGAGAGAGAGAGAGAGAGAGAGAGAGAGAAAATCAAAGATTCTTGGTTACAGTCTTAAAGAAGATCAAGGAAGAACCTTGGAATTTAGAAAGTAGCAAACTGTCAAAAATGGAAAGTTGGAAGAAGGAAAAAGCTTTTTTGTGTTTAGCCTTTGGCTTTGGCTTTGGCTTTGGCCTTGGCTTTTTGTTTTGGAAGTCTTAAGAGGGAAAATAAAAGATGAGAGTACTGAGTAGTAATTATTGGGAGAGGCCAGGTTTTGATTAGTATCTAAAATAGTAACCAAGCATTTACGGTGGAGGAGACTATTTTCCTCGGCGAAAAAAATTGTATTTTAACCGTTGAATGAGCCTGTTTAGTTCATAGATTAGAATCATGAGATTAGAATTATTTTTAATTTATGTGTCTTTTTGTGAGAGAAAATATTGTAGCGAACCATGAACCATGATTCGAATCAGGGAACGAATCCTCCAACCAAACGGGATCGTATTATTAAATGTATGAACAGTTTTATATAGTGCATTGTGATCTTTTAATCTAGAAATGTACATATTTTATTGATAAAAAAACTAATACGATAATTAAAAATAAAAAAACTAATACGATAATTAAAAATAAAAAACTAATATAATAATTAAAAACAACGGTTTTTATGTGTTGAGTAAAAATACATGTCCTATTATAAAAATTTCTAAATAATAGTAATAGTGAATTTTCCTTCATGTATTCATTGGCAGTGCATTATTTTGAAGAACAAAGCTAAAGAACATCAGTCAACATCAAAATATCACACGATACCAGAAGATAAGTTAGTTCGTTGATTTGAGTTGAGATGTGACTTTATGTGAGAATTTTTTACTATAATAAAAAAGTTAAATGTGATTGTTTCTGAAAACTTTTTACTATAACAAAATTTGAATTCTAAACTCAAATCGGTGAAATGAACGAAGTCTTAAATTTGATCAAAATCACTTTTGAACAAAAAAAAAAATCAAAAGCTCAAAGAATAGTGTTGTTATAGATTTGATAATTTAAAACATAATTTTACTAATAAGGAAATTCTCCCTAATAATAATGGTGAAAATAAATGGTTAAAAAACATGAGAAAATTATGTGGCAGCCACGTCAGCCGCGAGCGATCAATCAGGGACGAGCATGTGTCGATTAGAATGGGGCAGAATCTTGACTAGGTTCTGCGTATTTATTTTTGTCTCCTTTTCCTTTTTTTTCCTCTCTAATCTCAGCTGGAATGTTCTTATTCTAAGCTTTGCTACTTGACCAAATCCTAAAATATTCTCGTTTCTCGATAATGTAGAGATTTGAACGCCTGCCCATTAACTGTCATGTTACTAAGCTTTAACACCCTATTAAATTATTGTGATGTAATCTTTACTTATAATGATTAATATCATATTGGTAAATAACATCTCTAAATAATATTATTGTACTTGCCTATATGTTTTGTTTCCGTGTTTAGCTTTTTTTCACATTTATTAATCGTATTATGTTCGTGTCTAAATTAATCATATTGTGTCATAAACTTCATTCATTAATCATATTGTATTCGTGTTTAAATTAATTTGTGAACTGTAAATTTTTTTTATAATGTGCCATTATTCGTCATTATTGAATCAACAATAACGGTGTATACAGATCCCTAAATCAACAATACACTTTACATCAGTCAGGTTTACAAAAGTAAAAAACTAACTACTACTCACAAGTTGAGCCAACTTTCTAAAAGTAAGATAAGATATGCCTAAAAATCTATATTGACCAAGATTTAAACGTCTTTTTTGTTTTTTTTAATTAGAAGCCATTATCGGAATAATTGTATGGACAGTGAGAAAAAGTACTACCAAACCCGATTAAGTTCTACGTTGCCAAAATTTGGAGGTGCTTCATAATAGAGAATTAAATATGAAAGATAAACTAGTGAGCTTTAGCACCATGTATGATGTGTGTGTGTGTGTGTGTATATATATATATATATATATATATCTCTCGTTATGTGATGAGCATTTAGTGTTATTATAAGTAGTAGAGGAACATTGTTGTTAGCTTGTTATGGTTGTTTATAAATCTGCTAAAGATGTTGCTTTTAGTAAATGCTCCTAATGATATTTAACTAATGAAAAGAAAAATAAAGTTTAGCAAAAATAAAAATAATAATAATAATAATAACAAAACCATGCCTTTTTTGTTTGCTAGTTCATTATGTGCCATATATATTATGTGTACTAATAGAATTTATGCAATTTCGATTTAAGGACTTTATTTAGCAAAATTAATGTGGTATGAATGAAATTTGATATGTATTAACATGTCACGTGGAGAACTTGCGCCGCGAGTGCCCCGGTCAAACTTATTTATCTTCGGGAATGGGGATTTGTGTACTTTATTTTTAACCATTGATGAGTGCTTTAATTCTATTCAAATGTAAGCCTAGTTGGCTAGAATCTCCCTCATTTCAACGATTTGTAGGGAGGGAAAATGAAATGGAGGGAGCCCAAGTTAGGGGATAATAGGTAAACATCCAATCGATGCCAATACTACACTCTATTCACAAACATGCAATCAATCAATCAATCACCACTCAAAGAAACTATGAGGGAAGGAAAAAAAAAGGCTATGAGAATTCTTTGGTAATTAGGTTGTAGGTTTTAAAAAAATTATTTTTTAATTATGTTGAAAGAAGAAGCAGTTGTTATAAAATATAGTTGAGTATTTGGTAAACTATAGTCTCGTTCATTTCACCGATTTGAATTTTCAGTTTTAGGTTTCTACAATAAAAAGTTATCAGAAAATGTCACATCTAACTTCTTCTACTACAGTAAAAAGCTCTCAGAAAATGTCACATCTCAGCTCGAATTAAAAACTCGAATCCGCGAAGTGAACGAAGTCTATAATTATAGTAGCTGTATTGATTTCAAAATCAGTGTAATAACGTTTGATAAATTATAAGATTGAATTATTGTGAATAGTTAAAAATTACGACTATATTATATTATACTATAATATAATATATATAATTACAAATATTATTGTAATATTATTAATATAATAAGTTTAATTATATCAATACAATATAATATATAATATGTTATAAAATAATAATTACAATATCATATTATAATTATAATATCATATTATTAAAATAATTATAATATTATTATAATATCATATCATATGATAAAATAATAATATTAGAGTTATTATTATAATTATGATATTATTTGTTACAATATTACTATCATATTATATTATATTATATTACATTACGAGTTTAAATTTTAGATCGGGAAGATTGTAAATTTTAAATTTTATTAGGAGTATTATAGGTATTATAAAATTTTCATTAATTGTACTATGCTAATTCATGTACAATCTAAAAGCTAAAGTTGTCTTTAGGTTGCTTCTGATTTTTGGTGTAGATTCTTAAAAAATTATTCAAAAAGCACTTTTAAGCAGATTTATTAAATACTAAAATCAGCTTCTGCTACAAACAAAAGCTGATTTTGAGAGGGAAAAGCAATATCAAACTAAGCCAAAGTACCCAAGCTATGGTATGTTTCAAAAATATAGGATTAATTACATAAATATAGCTTTGACTTTCATAGTTTTATTTTTTATTTTTTTAATGCGCGTGGGATGAAACAAAAACATATTTATCAAATATAAAGGATTCTTTCGTAGTTTTAGAAAAAAAAAAAGGAATTAATTGAGAAAGAATTAAAACAAAAAATATAATTATGTGATTACTCTTTTTTTTAAGGTGATTCTAAACTAAACTTGCTATTTTTTATATATTTTTAATTTTAATATGCTTTTAATCAAATCCAATTATTCATAATTTTATTTTCATTTTCATATCCTACATTTTAATGTATTTAAAAAATCATACCACATTTAACCTTGATATCTTAAATTCATGTTAAACTTTTATCTATTTTTGGGTAAAAAAACGATTTTAACTATAAGAAGGTCCTAAATTTTCCTACATTTTAAAACATTTTAGTTATTTTGTTACGTAGTTTTAGGTTTTTATATGATCCAAATTGATTGCTTACCAAGAAAAAATACGATTTCAACATAAATTCAAATTTTAAAGGTATCATATGATACAATTTAAAATATAAAGTATAATTCTAACTCCCTTATAAGGACCTTCTCTGATATGTCAGTTAATTAGTAGGATTAATTTCAAATTGTATGATCTTGTTAAAATCACACCAAATTAAAAAAATATACGGAACATATAATTTTTTATATAAATTTAACGATTAAAAAGTAAAAAACTACATATATTTTATTTTTTTAATCTTATGAGAGAAGCTCCTTTTTTCTTCTTTTGCTTGAAGAGAAACTCTAGCCTCCTTCATTTTACTGATTTGAGTTTTTAATTTTAAGTTTTTACAGTTAAAAACTCTCAGAAAATGTCACATCTAACTTTTCCTATTACAGTTAAAATCTCTTAAAAAATATCACATCTCAACTTAAATTAAAAACTTAAATCTACGAAGTGAACGATATTTCTATTTTTTATAACATCAAAAATACTTTGTAGGGTATAAAAACGAAAAAAAAAATATCGAGAAAGAGAAACACGTACTAAATCATATGTAAAAGAAATTTTATATATTAAAAACAAAACAAAAAAACAAAAAAGAGAGGAAGGCCACGAGGTCGGGACCCTCTAACGGCTGAAATGCTGTGTGATTGGCTTGGAAGTTCATCGCTGTATTGTGGTGTGGAGAAAATAATGACAAATCTCTCGGAAGGAAACACAAACACTCACGTACTGCTGCCCTTGAGGACCCCACCACCTGCACACATCCACCCACCTTTCACCCTCCTCCGGTTCCACCCCTTTTGGCTTTTTCCTATTG